AGAGGGGCCCCACCAGGGCAATTCATCAGGAAAGAAAAAAAGCCTTTCCCTAAAAGTCCTTTAAAGTCCCGGCAGAGTTGCCATAAATCTTGTGGAAAAAGTAAAAGAAAAAAATAAAGGACTTTTACAAATTCCAAGGGTGAAACAGAAAGGTTTATTTTTGCGCAAAGGTTCAGAAGTGTTTAACAGCAAATTTCTGAACAAGGGGGAGGGTCCAAACTACAATCTTTATAGCTTTCTCTTTCTAAGGAACAAAGGAGCATAGATGGAATCTTACATTGTATAATTTTCAATTAGTTTCTCACAGGCATACAATGAATAGAAGGTTTCACTTTTATACAATGTTTCTCAATATGCATTAGGTCATTACAGCTATTGCTAACAGCTTTCCTCCAGGAATTATGCAGACACATCATTTTGCTTTTAGTGATTTCTTTCATTATCATTATTATTATTATTATACTTATTCATTTTTATTCTATGTTATTCTATTTCTTTCCACTTTAAGATAAAAGTAAAGAGCTCTGGGATGTAAGATAAAAGGCTTTTTTATTAATTGCTGAGCTTTCGTTAACAAGCTGTTAACATCATCAGAGCAAAGGGCTAAATGAGAAGGGGGAGTATGTGCATAAATTTACATAACAGTTAAAAAACGGTTGCAGTGAGGCATGTGCACATAACGTGCTTAAGAAGCTCTTAAAGGCATAGAGCAGTCAGTCTCAAAACCATTTTAAAAGTCGCACTTGTCAGCTGTTTGGCGCGTAGATCCAGCGCGCCTTTTAGCCAGCCTCTTGGATTGTATAGTTTGTTTGGTGTAGGGTTGCTCTCTGTGTGTGTTTTGTTGGGTACGGTTATTTGGAATGTTTCTGTGTGTTCGTTTATTATGCTTATTAGTTGTGGGTGGTTTTGTGGTGTTTGGGAATTGGGCTGTAATATTTTGTTCCATTGAATGTGATAAGTCATATTTCATTGCAGGGGGGAATTTTGGTCTTGGTCTTAATATTCTGTTGTTACTTAGGTGTTGTGTGTGTATGTTTTGTTGTGTGTGAGTGTCTTGTGAGGTTGCAGGATTTATGTTTTGGATGTTTGTGTCCTGGATGTTGTGGTCAGGGGGGTTGTTGTTTCTGTGTGTGAGAATATCAGAACATGGTGTGTTGGTTGTGTGAGTTGTCATGGTTGTGTTAGAATTATATTCTTTAGTTAGGTTTGATGAAAAGGATTGTGTTGTAGAAAGGATATCTATTGTGTTGGTTTGGGGTTTGATAAGTGGGTGGGGTGGTGTTTTTGTGTTATTATTGGTTGGGTTGAAGTGTTTAGGTATTTTATGTTTTTGTAAATGTCTTTTTAGGGTTTGGTAAGAAAGTAGTAGGTCTATGTGTCTATTAATAGAATGACAGTCTGAAAACCAAGCTTCTTTTAAAAGATGGCCTCCTTTGGTGGAATCATGAGCAATGACTTCTGCTCCTTTAAAGTTGAAAGTGTGGCCATGCTCAGCTATATGGGTCCAGACTTGGGAGCGTTGTTCTTGTCTTCTTACTGCCAAAACATGCTCATGTATTCTGGTTTTAAGTCTTTTTGATGTTTCTCCAATGTAGTTACATTGGCATGTGTTGCAGTTGATCTTGTATACGATGGAGGACAAATCACTGGTTGGTAATGGTTCTTTGGGTCGCATCAACTGGGACATAAGTTGTCACCACCACACATCCACGCAAAAAGCAAACCCGAACCCACACCGATGATGAGGCACGACCACAAACCAGAAGCCAGACCACAGCTGCATCATTAGCCACTTTAAACCTCTCCACTCCATACATGAAGCAAACTGACACCCTCCATGAAGATGAGGCACGACCACGAACGCGAAGCCAAAAAATAGCAAGGCAGCCCAAAATCTTAAACCCCCCTGCAACTCAGACTAACCTGAGCACAACCAAACAGAACACTCCCCCAGCCAATCAGAGCACAGCCAACCCCCAGCCAATCAGAGCACAGCCAACCCCCCAGCCAATCAGAGCACAGCCACGCCCCTAACCAATCAGAACACACCTCCACCCAATCAGAACACAGCCAAGCTCCCACCCAATCAGTTCATACCCCCAGTGGCAATTAAAAGGAAGGAACAGCTAAGACCACACATTGCTCCTCGAAGCACGAAGCTGAAAGCACCAGCCTGAAAATGACGAATGGGACTTCGTCGAAACGTCGCCAAGGCACTTCCAATTTTATGCGGGAGAAAACCCGAACAACCAAAGACCCATACACACACACATACACACACACACACACACACACACACACACAAACACACATTTGTTTTCTGAGGTTTTTGCGGGTGTTTGTATGTAGGTCTTTGGTTATTCAGGTTTTCTCCCACGTAAAATTGGAAGTGTCTTGGCGACGTTTCAACCAAGTCCCATTCGTCATCTTCAGGCTGGTGTTTTCGGCTTCGTGCTTCTAAGAGCAATGTGCGATTGTAACTTTTAACTGCCAGTGGGGGTATGAACTGATTGGGTGGGAGCTTGGCTGTGTTCTGATTGGGTGGAGGTGTGTTCTGATTGGATGGGGGGTTGGCTGTGCTCTGATTGGATGGGGGGGTTGGCTGTGCTCTGATTGGATGGGGGAGTGTTCTGTTTGGGTGGGGGCTTTGTTGTGTTCAGGTTTGTCTGAGTTGCAGGGGGCTTTGAGATGGTGAGCTGCGTTGCTGTTGTTTGGCTTCGCATTCGTTGTCATGCCTCATCTTCATGGTGGGTGTCAGTTTGCTTCTTGTATGTATTGGAGGGGTTTAAAGTGGCTAATGATGCAGCTGTGGTCTGGCTTCTGGCTTGTGGTCGTTCCTCATCATCGGTGTGGGTTCGGGTTTGCTTTTTGCGTGGATGTGTGGTGGTGACATCTTGTGTGGTTTTCGTGAGTGTGGGTCTGGTGTCATTCTTTGTGTTAGGGAGTCGTTTGTCAATAAGGGCAGTTTCCAAATGGCTGGTAGGGACTTGTTTGTCAATAAGGGCAGTTTCTAAATGCTGTGTGGGCATTTTTCTATCTCGATGGCTTCTCTGATTATTCTGTTATTAAAGTGTTCAGTTCTGGTCTTTTTAAAGTCAATTTCATGTCCTGTGGCTTTAAGGTGTTGGACCAGTGAAGAAGTTGGTTCCTCTTTTTTGACTGAGTTCTTGAGTCAAACACACACACAAACACACACGTGTGTGTGTGTGTGTGTGTGTGTAAAACACACCATACACATAATATAGGCACAATATATGTATTACACAATACATAATCATGTACAAAATAAGAATTGTTGATCTAAGTGTTCTGACATTTGTTTCTTGTGCCACTATTGAAAAATAACTCATCCAAATACTGAGGAAGAATATAGATCAAAAATCCAATGCTGCCAATCAGGGCAAATTTATCTTTCCAGTATTGGAATAGTACTACTTTGGGCTACATTCCTTCTGTGAAATACCCACAGCTCTCAGTATGTTAATCACAATCATATACTAGACATATAAACTAGATTAGTTCTCTCCAACATGGCTGCTCTCCAGATGTGTACATTTGAGTTCCTAGAAATTTCAGCAATAGCCGCACATCTGGAGGGTAGCCAGGTTGAAGAAAGCTGGCTGAAATGCTCATGCACTTGGTAGCAATTCTTTTGATAAAACAACCATCAACCCCAAACCTGACTGCCAGTCAGATAAATTTCAGACCAAAATGTAACAGTAGTAGGATAAGATAAAATCAAATGAGTTGACATTTTAAATTATATCTCCTGCATTAATGCAAACATATGGCATAGTTCTCATTGAGAACTGTGAAATGCACACAGAAATGATTGCTTGTTAATATATTCCATGTGCATTGGAAGCTAATGTTAGTTTGTCACCCTTATTAGAAACAAGACTGGATGAGCTAATTCTACTTTATTGTAAAGCTACATTAACAGAATCTTGCAAACCTGAAAGTGCTTCTCTCCCTTGTCTCCTCTAGAGTCCAAAAACTAAAGAGGGTCTTCTGAGCCTCTTGCCTAGCTCACATTCCCCACATAGCTGCCTTTTATCTGTCCATTTCTTTGGCTGTTGTGTCTTCAGCTTTCCCTCAAAGTCACTAGCTCATACCATGACATAATTTGAAAATTTTGGCACTATGAAAGGCTTAGATAGTAATTGGAATGTTCTAGGCAGATTACTGAGCCAGCTTGTAGTTTTGATGAGTTAGCCATATTTTTACTGATGAGGATGACACTTAGAGAAAAAAATCATCCAGAAATGACAGGAGGCCTATCTGGAGGAAGTAGAATTCACCTTTTTAAAACTTTGGTGTATGCAGTAAAGCTGCATACATCTATCTCTGTTTTGTAGTATGAGATTAGCATATTACCTTGTTGAGATTGTCCAAGTTTCCCTTGTGTACAAGGTCAAAGATCAATTAGAGATTAAACTCTTAAAATAGGACCATCAAAACCTAGACTGACATCAATGTTAGTTCAGTGAGTAACTGGGCAGTTCCTATCGTCACCCTTACCTATCTCAGTGGGTTGTTGTAAAATGCCACTTGAGTTTCTGGGGTGGGGGGAAACGAGATAAATTGAATGGATATTTAAATAATAAATGAGCGGGCTTGAAATTCTGGGAACAATTGGGAAAATATGCCTGGGGGGTGATCAGATTTGGAAAAAAAATGACATGGCTTTAGCTTAAAGTGATTAGACCCATAAACATGGTATTAGGACAGGAATTGTGTGGAAATTCTGCTAATTCTGAAGGCGACTCCATTATTGATAAAATTTTAGAGCAGTCAAGAAGCCCAGCCTCTTGACTTTTCTAAGGTATGCATCCACAACAACTTCAGAAGTTGCTTCTCTTCTAAGATTAGCCCCAATTCTTTTGTCCTCTCATTTTTCTCTTATTTTTGTCCTTTGGCAATCTGCTTATAGAGAGAATTCAAAGTGGATTGCACAGTGTAACATTTGCCTACTTTCCTTCTTTGTAATCTTCCACTAGGAAACCTGTCAACATGACCAAAGCCACAATCAACTACCGCAATGAGAAAACACACACGATGAGTGCAGTTGATCAGAGCTTCACAGACCGGAGTACCCTTCAGGAAGATGAGAGGCTGGGATTATCTTTCATGGATACTCACAATTACAACAACAGAGGTTAGTTTCGAAGGAATACATGTTGTCCTGATTCTAAGCTGGAGCGGTAGAATTTATATAACAGAGCAAAATAGATTTTATTGGTTCTTCTGCTGGTAGTACAGTGAAGTTAGGATTAGAGTTAAAGTTAAGCTTCTTTAGGCTCTGCAGTTGGATTTTATATGTGGGTTTCTTTATTTATTGTATTTATTTAGTTATTGATATCCCAACTTTATCATTTCTTATAAATAACTCAAGACAACAAACATACATAATTCTCCTTTTTCCTCCTATTTTCTCCATAACAACATTGTGAAATGAGTTGGGCTGAGAGAGAGAGGGACTGCCCTAAAGTTCTCCCAGCCAGTTTTCATGACTAAGGTGAGACTAGAACTCCCTGTCTCCTGGTAAATGGCAAAGTCATCCACCTGGCTTTCATGCCTAAGGTAGGACTAGATCTCACAGTCTTCTGATGATTGGCCCAAAGTCACCCAGCTGGCTTTCATGCCTAAAGAATAACTAGAACTCACAGACTCTTGGTTTCTAGGCTGAGGCCTTAAGTGTTATAAGAAGAATTGTCTGCCACACGGGTTATCCAAAAAGTCAAAATTAAAGCTACAACAAGTACAATCAAAGCCTTTTTTATGTGCATTGTGACACATGTAAAAAGGGAGCAGGGCTTTGATTTCATGAGATGACACAGTGAAATCCAATCAAGTCCAATCCTTTATTTGCTTACAGATGACAGACAGAATCTTGTCAAATTAAAGCTATAACCTTATAGCTTACTTAATATATCCTGAGGGATTCTAGGATGTGGCTACCTTAAACCTCTTCCCTCTTCCACCATCCAGTGTGAGACTATGCAGTCTCCTAATCTGGCCCCACTCTGGGAAAGCTTGATTTCTCCAAAACTCTGCCCCACTAATCCTCCAGTGCATGTTTCATCATGCATGATTTGACTCAACACCTCTCTGAAGATTCCCCTGCCAATTTTTAGGACAAAATTTCTACTGATAGTAGGATGAAAGTAGGGTTAGCCTTCCCTGGAGTCTGTGGTTCAATCTAATGTGAGAGTTAGATTAAGAAAGAAAGAAAAAACAGTTTTATTGGTCCTGGATCTCTTCCAGTACATTCCTACCTGAGTTTTCATGAATTTTAACATTGGTTGGCTCTTTGGAAGTGTTATCAGTTCAAATTGTCAGTACTAATCTTCTGGGCTGTGCACACAGTGTTATCTGATAAGGCTGATTACAATTCAGACTCTTCTGTTCTCCGCTCACTTATGCAATCAGTCTATTCTTTATCTTAAAATTGCCACCTCATGTTTTTATAAGGTTTCCCCCCATTTAGTTCTCTGGCTTCAACTCATCTTTGAGTTAGGCCTGTAGTCCAATCTTTAGACATTTGTAAAAGGTTTAAAATGCTTCTTTTTCCAGGATCTTCAGGAAAATGGAAAAACCTCCTCCTAATTTGATTTGTGTTGTACTTGTATTTGTATTAAGAATTGTTTATCCTGAGTACAGGTAGTCCTCGACAGTTCATTTAGTGACTGTTCAAAGTTACAGTGGCACTGAAAAAAGTGACTTGTGACCATTTTCACACTTACAGCCATTGCAGTATTCCCCAGAGTCAGATTAATTTGGATGCTTGGCAATTGACTCATATGTCCCAGTGTCATATGATCACCTTTGGTGACAAGCAAAGCCAATCACTTAACAACCGTGTTACTAATTTAACAACTGCAGTGATTTACTTAACTGTGGCATGAAAGATCATAAAATGGGGCAAAATTTACTTAACAATTGTTTCACTGAGCAACAAAAATTTTGGGCTCAGTTGTGGTCGTAAGTCAAGGACTACCGATATTAGATGATATTAAGATAGGATACCATTGATCATGATATAGTTTTATTGTGATTTATATTTTATATATACTGTAGATCTGATTTACCTTGACTGTGCATAGTATAATAGACATTTTCACACAATTCATTTGTCAGGAAATGAAAAAAAGCCATCAGTCATAGTGTATTGCAGAAAGAACAAAAATAAATGTCCCTTTTGATGCTACTTCAGTATGATGAAGGAAAATCCATTTTTGGCATTTCTTTCAAATAAGAAAAGAATTGTTTAGCTCCAACTGGCTTAGCTAGTCTGGTTTACATGCCCCTCTAACTGCCTGTTTGCTGAACATTGTCACGATTTTGGCTTGGCCCATGAGAGTGGCTAATCTTTTGTTGTTTCTGTGTTTATTCTGGAATGTGGAATTCCTGAGAAATCAGTAGAACAGTCAACCAGGAATTCTGCTGTTTGATGGGTGTGTACCTTCTCTGCATCTCTGCAGGGTGATATGCACACAGATGTGTTCTGGGGGTATCGGTAAATGAAGTGCATCAATACACTCGTACACATATGCACACACAAACACCAATATAGAATGGGGATGGGAGAGGGAAGAGATACTTTGTTTGAGGGTGAGAACGGAGAGAAAAAGAAATATATACCAAAAAATGTTTATCATATGAATATCTTTTTTGTTCTTCTGTTCATTTGTGTCTGATTCTTGAAGACTGCCTGAACAAGTCCCAGCAATTTTCTTGGCCAGGTTTTTCAGAAGTGGTTTGCCATTGCTTCCTTCCTTGGGCTGAGAAGGACTGGCCCAAGGTCATCCAGCTGCTTTGTGCTTAAGGTGGGACTAAAACTCACAGTCTCCTGGTGTCTTAACCACTCTAGCAGATGAACATTTGACCTAGCAGATATGAATACTTGATGAATAGCTACTTGACTTAATTCTTAGAACTTAACTACCGGTAAGTGGCTTAGATTTCTACTATTGCTTATAATGCAAATTGCTTTGCTGCTGGTTTCTTCCTCTTCCCATTCTACTTTTTCTGCAGGTTTAGGAATGCCAACAGCTTCTCCCCTTAATACACTCTTGTCTAATTAATTGGCACCTGAACCATTTGGAGTTTGCATCTTCCCATGTAGAGTCCATGACTGCTTTTTCTTTTTCCTGATTCTTTTCTGTAGATTCTTCTTTGGGTTCAAACTATCTAAGGCCCTTTCCTGGCTCTTCTCCAGATCTTCTGGCATCTGGTTCTCCCAGTCCTGGACTTTTCTGATCCACAGCTTGTTTGGTTACATCTCATTCTAGCAGCATCTCCTGCCAAATTTAGGGGGGGGGAATACCTCTCTTCCTGTTCTGGTTTCTATTATATTTCTTTTTTATTTAAACCTTACATGCCCATCTGCAGGAGTCTCTAAGGAGTTTACAACATTTCCTTCCTTTCTCTGCAGGTCCCTATGTACCTAAACTGGGCAGCTGACAGACCACCGCAGAGAAAAATATTGTGATCTTGATAGTTTCAGAGCAGTTCACCCATCCACATTCTTTGTCTATCAAAACCAATTTGGGGTGAAAATTGGGTCTAGATGGAAGAAAAGAAAGAAAGAGCGGGGGTGGGGGGAACAATATAGAGATTCGGGCTTCCCAGCATTGTATTTGGCTGCTCCAATCATTCATTTGGCTGCTCCAATCACTCAGAGAGACTTTTGAGAATGGGATTGTTTGACATGAGCATATTGATCTTCTATTTCTCTGACAATTCTATCGATCTCTTGTGAGATTGATAGTCCTGTCAGAGGAAGCACATGGTAAATAATAAAACTTAAGGTTAAATAAATAAAATAAGGCAAAAATAAGGTTTCAGACCTCAACCCTGCCTGCCAAATGTTCTGCTGACAGTGGTTTTTCCTGCTGATGTGTAATTCTCACTGGGAGGGGAAAGGAAGATAGAGAATCCAGCAACCTCTGCCTTGAACATGGGGTGAATAAGACTGCAGACATACTGCAGATGACTAACTGCAGTGAGAATTAGGGCATTACCTGGAACCCTCTGGTTACCTTGAGGCTAAGATAGCTATCTTCTTTACCTTTTCTTGCTCATATATATACCTAGGCTTGATACATACCAGGATGGTTTGCTTCTTTCCATTGATGATCAAGATGGTAAGAAAAATTGGATATGATTCTGAACTATATAGAGTGGTCCTAAGTGACAAATTGAGCCATGTATGGTTTAAAGCAGTGTTTTTAAAGCTGGCTGGGTAATTCCGCTAATTGAAGTCTATCTATCTTAATGTTGCCAAGGTGGAGAAACACTGCATTAAAAGGTTGCCTGAGTATATGCAATGAGTTTTGGCTTGCTCCATAGCAGAGAATTGCATGCTCCAGAGTTTACTTCAGGATACATTATTTGGATGCAATTTGCCCATAGGATCCTGATTCACTTTTACAGTCAATACAATTCAATTTTGCAGTTACTAAGATTGTTGGCTGTGCCGGTACAAAGATAGCCAGGGAAATGATTGAAGCCTGGGAAACGGGCCCCTTGACAGTCCACAGGAGTGCTGATTTACTACCAGCTTATCAGGTGCTTAGGAGTTGAGGACTTGGCAGCACAAGGAAACAACAGCCAATTGCTAGCCATCAACACACCAATCAACCAATAGGAAAGCACTACATAAATATGACTCATAGAATAGCCCAAAGCACATATTTCAGTAGAGAGAAATTCCCTGAGGATGGGCTTCAGGATGAATCCAAAAACTTGGAAGAGTAAACCTTTGGTTCCAGTGACCAACCCAGATTGGATCTTACAACATTATTGTGAGATGTGTATATTTGCCTTCATTCTTTTTTTTTATGTAAAAAGTTATATTAACAGTTACAAAATAAACCCAATAACTCCCCCCCCCACTTCCCGGAGCCAAATACAGGGTATATCAAACATATTAAACATAATTAATTAAGTTAACAAATATATTAGTCATAAGCTAAACAACTTTAACAATTTATACAACAATTAATATCATACTTAACCCTTAACTCCCTTTAAACCTTATTATTAATAATACTTATTTTTTTAATCATAAAATAAATGGAACTTTTCAGTTCCATATTTAATCTGAAGAAGACAGAACTCTTGGAATAATTCTTCCAACAGGAATCCTTTATT